GTAGCGTGATGTTTTATAGCCTATAGCATTAGGAAATGTTGTAGCTATCTATCAGTGAAAGAATTTTGGGAATCCGACCAGCGGTTCCAAAGATTACCCCCTACATACAAACTTACAAATTTTACCTCTTTATAATATTAGTATTGATTCTGATAATATAATATAATATATAATATAGATTGGTTATATAAATCACATTCACTTGTTTCTAATAATGACATAAACTTAATTACGTAGGATAAAAGTCGATTGCTCTATCCCTATAGCCCTATGTACGCTTTACTTCTTACAACTACGCAAAGTATTTTGATTATATTTTTATAGATAGAGTGATTAAAGGGGAAGATTTATATGTATAATAACATCCATCAAATAGTGGAAAAAATTTAAGTATCAACATTGTATCCGTGTGAAACTTGGTCGGGTCACTATTGTTCGTTGTGTGTAATCTGTCATATAAAGTCAGTAAAGAAACACTTCTGACAGCCTATCATGGGTTAGTTGCATCAGTATTAAGGTTTGGTGTCATCTTTTGAGGCAACTTGCATAGAAAAGGAGGCGATTTTTAAGACTCAAAAATGGTGTATACAGTCTATCTTAAGATTAAAGTCAACAGACAGTTGTGAACCTATGTTTATATCTCTGAAGATACTAACTTTTTCGTGTTTGTACATATTGAAGGTGGCAATTTTTGTGAAAAATAATTTAGAATTAATTCCGTCTCTCGCTGATAAAAGAACACGTCCAGGCCAGTTGAGATCCCAATATAAAAACTTATTACACAGTTAATTACAAAACAGCACTATTTAAAAAAAGTATAATGTCAATGGGACCGGTTATTTACAATATAAAGTTATCTCTGAAATTGACTTTCATAGACCGAAATAAATGAAATGAAAATAATGCATAAACCTTAGATGTGGCTTTTGTCAGGAAAAAAATATTTGAAAATATATTATGAGTGTTGGGCATTCAGTCAGAATTCTAACGATCTATTTCGCTGCCTTTATATCGATATACTCAATAGACTTATGTGACACATTGTTCATACCAATAACTTTTTATACCCAATCCGGTAGTTACGAACTATTCAAATTCAAAAACAATACTTTTTTATTAATTTTCTATGAGATCACAACGTCGACGATATGTCGTCGGAATATTTTCACGTCAAACAGCATAACTATTTCTGAAAAATTAGCTAGAAATAAATTCAAATTAATTGTATCGTGAAATCTATAAATGAAAGTAGTATGATTCTTTTTTAACACCTTATTGTACTGCAAAGACAAAATTACTTATATTATTGACCTAGGAAAATTTCCAATTATGTATATCTGATACAGTATGACTATTAAGACATGACGAAAAATTACTAGGATCATATGAAAGTCCTTCAGCAACTCACAACTGAATCTCCTTAATTTCGTCAGTCATTTTAAGAACTTTAAACTTTTCTATGCTGTACTTCTTTACCTGACTGTACATGTCTATATAACACATCTTTTTCCTATTTATCACGTAGTTGGTACATATTTCCCGAAGGAGTGTATTTTTAGAACCTTTTTCTTCCGTAATTACAATTCTTTCAAGGTATTCGGGCCAAAAGATGAATGGATGTGTTTATACAATGAACTAAGTTACGCCTTTTCTTTGTACTTGTAACAATTATTAGCGTTGTATAGAGATAGTGTAGGCGTAGGGCCTAAGTGGTTATTATCTGGGCTTCATGAATGGAGGAAAATGTACGAAAAACTAGATTAACTTCTCGTCAAAGGTCATGCGAAAGTATTCAATGGTGTAGTAGTTTTTAAAAGAACTAACAAAGGTTTATGTTTCGCGGCGCCGGCCTGGAGCAGGAGAAGAAACTGGGTGGGATGGATCCATCGATTCAATACCAGTGATCTGCTCACTCACCTCTAAATCCATAAAAAGTACGAATCAAAAAGTACACATACATCATTAGCCGGCAATGAGAAGGTTTTGATATTAATCACCACGCTTACTTGAGGCGAATACGGCGATTTCAAACTTATAATTAAAATTTATAAGTCTAGGTTTCCTTACGATTTTTTCTATCACCGTATATTGGTGGTATCTAGGTATATTTAGAAAGTACGAATAACTAGAAAAATTTCACAAAGTTTCGACCCTCATTCATAAGGAAAAGGACCGCTTATTCTCCAGGCATCACGACTGCTAGACATAATAGGTCTATGGTAAAATGGTTACTGACCCTTTTGATCTTAAGTTCCACATTTAGGCATTGCCTATTACGCTTGCCCCGCAACCCCGGCTAAAGGCCCCGGCCCTAAAGGGGCCCAACTATGGTGGTCTTGTGCACCGTACACTCGGGTCTGGTTCGGGGGGGCTGGCGAGCTGTCTTTGCGCGCAGTCCGCAGCCCAGGAAGCGTTTTGCCGTATGAGTGAGGTTATCAGAGGCCCAATCCGCTATTTTCTCCTCCTCATCCCTAAATCTTCTAAGCTCTAATCCCTAAAACTCCAGCAACGCACTCGTGACTCCTCTGTTCTTGTGGGTGCCAATGGGCGCCATACAAATGTACATCTAAATATATAAAACTTAAAGGTGACTGATATAGTGATCTATCAACGCACAGCCCAAATCACTGGATGGATCGGACTGAAATTTGGCATGCAGGTAGATGTTATGACGTAGGCATCCGCTAAGAAAGGATAATAAAATATAAGGATAATTTTACCCCCAAGGTTATAAAAAAGGGGATGAAAGTTTGTATGAAACTTTGTCAGTTTTAAACCGATATCGGGCTGAGCCCTTGCATGCATAAAGCTACTATAATGCCTACGTTATGCGTACCTATGTTTTACCTACGGAATGCTTACATCCCCTAAAAAAGGATTTTGACAATTTCCACCTCTAACCCCTTAGAACTTAGAACCCAAATAAAATAGGGGATGAAAGTTTGTACAAATCTTCTTAGATTTTCGACTGATTGAGAAATTAAAGATTGATAAAGATGATTGCCTTAATTTTTAAAACACATTCTACACAAAAGTAAAGCCGCAGAAACTATAACCTAAAAAATAATAATATTTCTTAACGCGAGCGAAGCCGCGGGCAAAAGCTAGTTAAGTATAAATAAAATAAAACATAATAAATGAACACTTTTTTTACAGTCTATAACAAACCCTTTCGTGATGGCCACAGGTGATGGCCATCGTAGGCTATGAATAGATACCAGCTGGTCAACTAACGCCAAAATCCAATGTAACAAATGAACAGTAATTTCATTTGTTTCATTGGATTTTTGACATTTTTTTTGTGAGGGCAAAATCATCAATTGTTTTTTCCAGGATGAGGCGACAAGGATTGTCAGATCCATACTGACTAAAACATTGACGTTCTTTCTCCTGCTACATGCCTCGGTGCCTCATTGCGCTTGACCTGCAACTCTAGCTGAACATCAGCCCTATTGGGCCCCATCTGACCTGGCAAGAATTGATATGACTGGTTTTGAGTAGTCACGGCTGACATATGATAATGAAGAAATCTTGAGGTAGCCGGGACACTTACACGAGCAAGCGTGGTGATTAATGCTCAAACCTTTTTCGTGTGAGTAGAGTCGTTGCTCAATAGTTGCCACTTATAAGCTGATGATGTGACTATGACGATAGTGATTAGTGATTCACCAAATGGAAGGTATAAGGAAAATGTGTCCAGTAGCAGACTCCATGTTTATTCTAATTTTCCTTATTGTACATATATTGCAATAAGTTTATATGATTGTCTTTTGAGTAAAAGTACTGTCCTTTATCAGGCGACACGTTTCTTTTATTATCTTCCAAGGACAGTATATAGCACCGCCATACATTGTGTTTATAATACACAGGGTGTAAAAGGACACTTAACGAAGCCGTTAACTACGCATACTGCAGTTCTAACTAAGTAGCTTTATGCTAAAATTATCGCTGGGAAACGACTTTTATTTTTAGGTATCAATAAAAAAAAAATTATTACGCGCAATGTAAAGCAAACGGGCTTGGTGTCATTGTGTGCGTAGGTTCACAGCTTAGCATGAAAACGCTGAGATAAGTACGTAGGTCAACGTTTTACTTCGCAACAGCAAAAAAATTCTGTAAAATTAAATTAAAATGTAATTCAGGTAATGTTTCTTTGGAAAAAAGTTTTGTAATAATACTTAGAATTCGATTGCGCAATAAAATAAAAAATAAAAATGCATCTTTGACCTTCAATATCTCGAGTCCCAGCTATGGTCTTAAAGAAAAAATTATCCAAATAATGGGTAGAATACGTGGCTTTCGGTTTCGTTAAGTGTCTTTTTACACCCTGTATATTGTGTTGCGTTTTGTTCTCGTAAACATTGCGTCGCCGATGTTGATTTTCTAAACCATTCAACCGACTTATCTCACGATCTCACATCTGTGCTGTGCTACTTAAGTACTGCAAGCGTCTTGGGTACACAAGTACCTGTTGTATGTGTTTAATGGTTCACTTATGTTAGGTACAAATAGGTTCTCAGAAAAATAAAAAATGTGGTAATAATTATGAAAAAGTTGATTTATTATAATTATAATTATAATAATTATTATAATACAGTTTACAATAATTACAAGCGATCACCAAACGGGGTGAAAGAAAACGGCGTAGTATTAAATTATTAGGGCGTCTACACACGGCGTCGCGAGCGCGCAGCGGGCCGCGCGCGTCCCGTCCTCGACCCGCCTTACATTATACTAGCTACACTACTCCCGGCGACGCGCCGCGCTCGCTGCGCGCGCGCCACTCTGCCCTACGTAGACGGAGATTTATTTATTTATTCGATTTTAGGATATAGTCTTTCGAACGCGAGGAACAAAATATTACACAAGTCGAGAATATTATTTATAATCGATTCGGATTAAATCGGATTCGAGAGCGGCGGAAGCGAGCCGCGGCGGTGGCGGCGGGCGGCGGACAGCGTTGGGCGGCGTCGAGCGGCAGGCTATGTACAGGTGTGCCGCTACGGGCAGTCGCACTCCTCCACCACCATCTCGGGCAGGTCGCGCTTGATGATGTTGGAGTCGGCGCCGAAGTAGATGAGCGACAGCGCAGAGAAGCGCACGGGCGCGCAGCACTCGGCGCGTTCCAGCCGCGCCGCCTCCACCACCTGCGAGTGGTAGTTGAGGAAGGGCGCGCACGCGCCACGGCAGTAGTTGGCGTAGTAGCCCTCCGGCGCCACGATCCAGTCGTCCCAGCCCAGCGCGCGGAAGCTCACGTAGTAGGTCTGCCGGCAGCAGCGGCCGTGCTCGGCGGCGTCGCAGTCCAGCGCGCGGCGGCGGCGCACGGCCGGCGGCTTCAGGCGCAGGCGCAGCAGCGGGCGCGCCGCCTGCCCGCCGCCCAGCCGCAGGCGCACGCGCCCGCCGCAGCCGCTGCAGTCCAGCAGCAGGCGCAGCGGCTGGCGCGCGCCCGTCGCCGCCCAGCGCCGCGCCGCCGCCGTCACGTCCAGCCGCTGCCAGCCGCGCGCCGGGTCGCGCCGCGCCGCGCCCGCCAGCGCGCTGATGGCGGCCGTCTCGTTGCCGCTCACCGTGAAGGCCCACAGCGTGTAGCGCAGGCGGCGCGCGCGCGGCGACGTCTCCGCGCGCACTAGCAGCTCGGCCGACGCCACCGCCAGCCCTTCACCCTGTTCCGACTCGGCCTCGGCCCCCAGCCGGAATTCGATCAGTCTCTGACCGTTCAGGGTCTCACCTGCACATGAACACACACTTTCCTATAGAGACTGTCGACGAACATCGGTGACAAAGATTAACAGGACATTTATCCAACCCACAGGTAGGATAACAATCCGTAATCTCCGTCACTCGTTTGTCGCAGAACCCTAATAATTCCTACGGTCCCTGCCTATATCGAAATGGCCCATCTTTAGCGCAGTGGTCGCGACGATGGAGTGGGAGGTGGGAGGGGGCGGAGTGCGCGCGGTGGTCGCCCTGGCTGGAGCTGCACTCGCTCGGTCGTCATGAACATCAGACTCTGATAATTGTTCGGAGGTCCATGCCGAGTCGGACTCGCGCTAGCCTCGCGCACATTCGCATAGTCTATGTAAAATTGTGTTTGGTAGTAAAATATAAATAAAGTTAAAAAAAACCGTCGCAACCACGAGCACTACTAAACTGGAATAAAATGTGTTTAAACTACTCCATCGTCCATCGGTGCGACAGTCACAATGCGCCTGACGGGAGCGTAGTTCACCTCATGCTGGAGACTCGATCCTGCAACAAACGAGATACTGTTACGATGACGTCACTTGGTAAACAGACAGATGCACGTATGTACGCGTATGAGTAGAAAGTTCCGCGACACGCCAAGACAGTGATCCGAATGATTGGCTACGATCAAAGCGAGCCGCACACCACAGCTCCGCGTCAGCTCACGTCCCTAACTACAAAACGGTCGCCAGATTTATGAATGAAACAAAATTATCGTACACAAAGCCGAAATTAAACGAAATAATTTTATGCGCGATGGCGTTTTGCCAAATCTTTAAGTACTACATAATAGGGTCGTTGGAATAAATAACTGTACTAATGAGATAACAGGGCGACCGTCACTTAGATTGTAATCTCCGTTTTAATCTATTTTTGGTACGAAGTCTTTTGAAGGTGGATACTGTTGAGAAACGGGTTGTGTGGGTGTCACAGTGTGTCTAAGGAGTTCGTTCTCGTCAGGTACAATTTGTGGGAAAGGTCAAATACCTAGGGGCATTAAGACAAGTGCTAATACTTAGGAGTGTTCCCCGGAGGTCTAGATGTCATCGTCTAGCACTGACACGTGTCTGCCACAAAGATACATATATTATAAGAACATATATGCCTTACGCTAGTTTCTTTACCCTTTAGTAACCTAATCATGCTCCGTATACAGAACAATAAAACTATTGTATGATGTGGATCAGGATTAGTACCATCATAAAAATATCACAGCCTCCATAATGTTGTCGTAAATTAGATTGAGGACTGTATTAATTGAGTACAAGGTCGAAGATCGAGTAATTTAGGAAAGAAATACAAAGTAGGATTTTTTTAGCATACATGCATGCATGCATGGAAACCCTACTAACCGACCTTTTGCGTATTAGGATTTTGGAGGTTTACCGATTGAGGAGGGATTGGCGGAGGAGAAGGATTGGGCCTCGGGTAACCCCACTCACACGGCGAAACACAACGCTGTGGTTGATTCATCCTCTACGTATCACTCCAGTCGAGCAGACCCTTTTATGCATCCTTATTATGATTAAAAAACCTTTATACACAAAAGAAAACATATCCAAACAGCTATAATACGCTCCACTTCACGGCCAACTCAATACCTAATGCATCTTTAATGCACCATAGCTGCAAGGTCAAATATTCGATTTGAAAACCCCATAAACCATGGCACAAGAGGCTATAGCTATAAACGAGGGTAATTACGGCCATAAAATTATGGTGTGGACTGCACAAGAGCCTGTCTTGCAACGTGCCGTGCAACATATTATGCAACTTGTCCCACCCCCATATCGATTTGTATTTTCTTCATATATAGGTATATAGGTGAATAATTTAATGTTTGGATTACGGCTAGTTACTGAGAATCTAGAAACAACTGACTGTTTCTAGATTTGATTTGTTTTTATGCAAATGTTTTGAGTATAAGTATATGAATATTGTTTTAATGTGACTTTCGTTTTTGTTCTTCTTGATTGATTTGTTTTGCTAAATGTAAAAGAGTTTAAGACATCTAAATGACAAACTAAGTATAAGATTAACACTTTAATTTTAATTAAGACTTTAATTTGATATTGGATTTTATTCAGTAGATAAGGTGCAATGGTGATACTTACTAAATTTCTCCACTATTTCATGATGTTTTTTATAGATTTACCGTTCATCTTTAGTCACTACTATCTACTTAAAAAAGCCGTATCAAAATTCGTTGCCTGGTTTTAAAGATTTAAGCTTACATAGGGATATAGGGCCAAAGAAAGCGACTTTGTTTTAGTTTTAGTTAGTTTTTCTTGTTTCTATCTTTGTTGATTCTTAGTTATAGTTGAAAGACTATATATATGTCATTATACAGAAGTATATATGAATGAACAGAAACAATAACAATATTTTCTACAAATCAAATTTTACGTCCACCAAAATAATCATAAAAAACTTTACCACAACCACAACAACGCAACAATAAATTAGTAAATCAATTTTAACTGCTTAGGTACTTACAAGTGACAAAGCGGTTATATTTCAATAACACAGCGACCCCATACGATATTGCGTACTAAAATGAAATCACAACGAAAATAACTTAACGTTCAAACTAAGTAACACGAAACACGGCGGTAAGAACATTAGGTAAGAAATAAAAATAAAAACAACTTCAATACACCTCTGTGCCACGGAAACAGAAAACTCAAAGCATAAAAACGTTATAAAAAGAATATATAAAAAAATGGCTACGCAAAACGAAGTTCATGTATTACAATAATGGTATTATTAGCCAAAGTTTAGTTTGGCTTAGGAACTAATACCATGGCGAACCGTTGACCTGACCCCATTACGTCTAAGAAGGTCTTACGCTAGCAATTCTATAGAATTCCGTGGCAACTGATGAATTACTCTACTAGAACCATTTGCCCCACCTTTTTAGGGTTAGGTACATACGGTTAGGTAACATATTGTGTTAAAATTTGCCGTGAACACTAGATTGCCTATGAATATGAGTGTCATGTCATGGAACGTGTCTTTTTCCATACATTGGTCGCTATCTTCTAGTTAGATAGCCTTCACTACCAGGAATAAGATCTATTTTACAATGACAACTGAATTGTTATGGTTTTTGTAATCCTCTAGTCCTGTTTTATTTTAAGGCGCATTAGTCATAAGACTACATTTACGTAGAAGAAAGAAAATTCCAAAGTAATGTATAGAGAATCTTTAACCGGGTATAGAATAAAAAAGTATATAAGAATACATACCTATGAGCATTGTCACAAGGCGTTTATCATGTAGGAAGATGAAAGTGCCTACATGAATATAAATAACAAGGAAGAAAACCAAATTCTGAAAAAAAAACGCTATTAAACATATGTATAAAGGGATAAAAAAATACGTAGGTATATTAAGAATATCGATGGTATCTCCTCCAATGCCATTGATAATATCAATGCGTAGGAGGGACAATGAACAAAAAATAATACAAAAAAAAAATCCCTCATTGAAATCTATTTTTATTCCATTAACAAAAGATAGTATTATTGTAACTTATGTCGTTCGGTTGTATTGGCCCAATCAATTGGCCATAATGCCCAAATGTTTGGACGAAGAACATATAGGTATTAAACCTCATTTATTGGCATCCGTCATCTGTACCGCGGTCTTAATTATCTGTGGTCTTATTGTGTCTATATTTAAAAACTAGCCGCACGTCTCTGCTTCTCATTGGTGGACATATTTTTTTGTATATAATTTGCAATAAAGATAGCCTTTGTTGCTTAGGGTGATTGAAGCTTTCGAATGAATTTTGAAATCGGAACAGGTTCTTGAGTTTTTTTTAATTTATTTATTTTTCACATGGGTGTGTTCTAATCTAACATAGGTAGGTATAATTATTGTAAAAAAATAATGGTAAATTAGAATAATAAATTATCAACGTGTCAGGAAAAACATGTGCAATTTAAGTGATAATACCTATATGCATGTATATTAGTTATTATCAATACTATTTCTAATTTCCTTTTAAGATCATAAATCACAATTAATTTAATAAATAGGTACGTACAAATTTTTCCTTTAGTGTCAATGAAATGTAGAAAGAAATAAACTGTATTTTTATAAATATTTTCCTATAGCCATCTTTGTAAGGCTCGCATGGTTTAGCAATATTAACGAGTAACCTATAAATAAAATATTTGCCAATCAAATATTTGATCAAACTGTAGATACTATTTATATAAGCTTCTAAAAATGTGGATATTTTTTTTACAAAAAGCCTTGTGTAAATAGGTGACTGTTTTATTCGTATATATGTACCTAAATGGAAACGATGTCTTTTTGGACTCGGACCACAACGTCGAAGAAAAAAATAAATAAAATAAAAATGCTATTGCTAATATCCATCAATAAATTATGGATCACATCACATTGTCAGCCTATAAGTCCCAACTGCTGAGCAAAGGTCTCTTCACACACGAGAAGGTTTGAGCATTAATCCCCACGCTTACTTAAGGTAGATTGGCGATTTCAAACTTATAATTAGAAATTATAAGTCTAGGTTTCCTTACGATGTTTTCCTTCACCGTACATATGTCAGTAGTGTCTAAATAATGGTAGAATGTACTATCCTAACTAATATTATAAACTTAGCCTAAACTTCTGAACCGATTTCTGTGAAATTTGGTATAGACATAGTTTGGAACTCGAGAAAGGACATAGGATAGTTTTTATTCCAAAAATCTGCAGGAAGTAACTCTTCCACGTGAACAAAGTCGCGGGCAAAAGCTATTAACTATATATGTTGTACTGTATGCTGTGTATGTATAACTCGGAAAAGTTAAACCAAACCATCATCATCATCAGCCTATAAGTAGGTTTCTACAGGCTGAGCTAAGGCCTCTTCTCACACGGAGAAGGTTTGAGCATTCATCCATTAGCTTTATTATTTTTGAGCTTGATTAAAACGGGTTGGCTATTTGAAACTTATAAGTCTTTTGCCGCACCTATTATAAGTCCAGGTTTTATCACAGTTTTATTTCATCTTTTATTAGGGGAATTTAAATGAGAAAGTAAGTGATATAACTCGGAAGAAGTTACATTGGTAACTGTCAGGTTTCGAACTCGTTTCATCCTCAAGCACGAGTGTCACAATACCATTACTACATAATTATGTTTTACATATGTATTTATGGATCTGAAACATATTGTGACGGAAAAGTGGTTCAAACTCTTTGACATCATGACGTCAATGGATGGTTGTCAAACGTTGCCTAGAGATTGTAAATTTCGTCGTGAATTGTCAATACGAGTTGGTGTAATTGGTAAGGCGTGTGGATTACACCACAGAGACCCCGAGTTCGAGTCCCGCCGTAAACATGAAGTTTTTTAGTTGATGGAAGTTTTGTCGAACTTTCTGGAATTATTTGTATGAAAGAAATGAAAAATTAAAGAGCGAGAAGGAGAATAAATAAAAATGAATTACGAAATTATTGGAAGGTTGTGGAGGCATGACGATCAAAAAGAATAACGAAATTGAATGTTCCAGAACTTGACCGGGGGTATATAAGCGGAACTGCGGCTCACCGCTGGCAGTTGAGTTCTAAGTCTAAAGCGATTCGGAAGAAAAGGAAGAAGTGAAAAAGAAGAAAAGTGAGTGAAATAGTGAAGTGCAGTAAAATAGTGAAGTGCAGTCAGTTCAGTGAGTTAAGTCAGCGTGAACGGCAAAGTTGTGTCAGTCGGCCGGACTCTGCTGGAGAGGAACGCCGATAACTTAACTCCGTGGACGCTGTAACTTAAGTGAAATAGAAAGTTTGAAAACCGGTATTAGTGTTTCATTTCATCCAATCCCGTAACCCAAGCCCGCATAGTCAGGAACGTGACGTCAGGAACGTAACATTTGGTGTCAGAAGTGGGATTGGAGAAAAATGCCGCTAGTGCCGCAGGACGTAAGAGGAGTGAGTACCCGTGCAATGTCAGAAGCGCAGCGTGTGAGGGAAGAGGGTGCTGCAGCTCAAACCAGCGATGCAGAAGCCAAGCCTGTGCAGGTGGATCTTCTGCTACAGCTGCAGCAAATGATGGCAGAGCAAGCGCGCCGCCAAAAAGAGCAAGCGCGCCGCCAAGAAGAGCAAGCGCGCCGCCAAGAAGAGCAAGCGCGCTGTCAGGCAGAACAGCTGCGGGAGATGAAAGAAGAGCAAGAGCGCCGCCAAGAAGAGCAAGCGCGCCGCCAAGAAGAGCAAGCGCGCCGGCAAGAAGAGCAAGCGCGCCGCCAAGAAGAGCAAGCACGCTGTCAGGCAGAACAGCTTCGGGAGCTGAAAGAAGATCAAGCTCGCTGCCAAGAGGAGCAAGCGCGTCGCTTGGAAGAGATGCACAAGGATTTCACGAAGGGACTGCAAAAGGCTGTCGAACGGGTACAAGAAGTGGAGGAAGGGTTAGGCAACTTGGAACATCGCGTCATGGCGATAGAGGAGAGAGTGAAAGAAGAGATCTCC